TTCCTCTTTGTCTCCTACTTGTTGTTGTCCCGCCCTGCTCATGCTTCTTCTCTGGGATAAGGCCAGGAACTCACCCTGCCCGTCCCCCTTCGCCTCCCCAAATTGCAGGCATGCTCAGCGGCAACAGCTCGATCACCGTCAATGGAGACGAGGGCCTGGCGGGCCTGGCCGGCCTGGCGGGCGGAACCACCACTATCTCCGGCCTTGGCGGCGTCGGCGGCCTCATCGTGCTGCAGCCCCAGGGCTCTTATGTCACTCTCTCCAAGTACCTAAGCATGGGTGAGCGGCGAGCAGTGGGGTCTCCACGCAAGCATGCCGGGGGGGCGCTGCAGGCTGCAGAGGGCTGGCGGAGGTGGCAGCTGTAATGCAGCAGCGGGAGGGAGTGGAACGCTTCACTGCACGGCTTTCGCTGTGGCCAGGGCACTCAAAGCCCTATCCCGCTGCACACAGCCATGCACACGCCCAAGCCCTGCCCCCCCATACCCCGGTCGCAGGCGAGACTCTGTCCCTCTGCGGCATCCAGGTCTGCGCCAAGCCAGCGGGCGCGGCCAACACCACCAGCACGCCCGCCACCTGAGGCGCCGGCCGAGGCTGCCGCCGAGGGGCGCGCGTGGCAAGACCCTTCTCCCACTCTGACGCAGGCTGGCCCCAGGGCGAGCAGCCTCTTTACTTTTGACTGCTGACTCCTACTTCTAGCTCAACCCGTGATTCATGCCATGCTCATCCTGCCTTTGGTTCCCTAGGGTTAGCCTCCAAGTAGTATCCAGCACACCAGGCACGCCACCGCATGCCAGGGCACCCCCTGCAGCCTAGCAAGTGCCTAGGACTCCTCAGCCTGCAGCGCCACCTCCATACAACCCTGGCCCCGCCTTCCTTTCAAGTAGGCATGTACACGGCGCGCGCGGCGCAGCTGCCCGCAGTTTTGGCCGCACATTTGCGGCTGGTGCCCCCCTTCTCCAAGAGTCTTCTGTCCCTGTGCTTCTCCTCCATCCCCATCCTCATGGTATGCCACTGCACTTCCAGTAACTTCCACAAAATTAACGAATCAGCAAAAGTTCAAACAATTGATGGGGAGGTTGCCCCGCGGCGCAGCAAGCTGCCCAGGAAAGCACCGCGCCATTGACAGGCAGCACGAGTCTGGCTGGCTGCCAGCGGCTGCGCCACCCTATGGCTCCCCTGCTGTCTGCTTCCCGCTGGCGCTGCGCCCAAACTCCGCGGCGGCGGCGGCGCAGTAGCGCTGCACCTTGCCCAGATCCTTCTTCAGACCGTCAGGGCTGCACACACCACTGCTGACATCCACACCAGTTGGGGCTGCCGTCGCAATCGCCTCTGCAGGGTTGGGCAGGGATGCATCCGCAGTAGCAGCACGCACAGCACAGCTGGATGCCGCAGAAAGAGCTGCTGCTGGTATCGCAGCAATGCTCAGCCCACCATGGCCGCTGTCAGTCGGACAGGTGCCAGGTTGGAAGCCGCAGAGAACCACCAGCCCCACGGCCTGCCCCTGAGGCCTACAGGCGCCAAAGCGCACCTGCCACCGTATCGGGGGTCAGCCCCCCCGCCAGCAGCCAGCCGTGGCTGCTGTGCTGCGCCAGGTCCGGCGCCGCAGCCCGCAGCTGGCGCCAGTCAAAGGCCTCGCCGCTGCCGCCCTGCAGGCTGTCCACTATCAGCCAGCGGGGCTGCCTGCAAGGAGACAGCGAGACAGGCATGCACAGGCAGTCGACACCACCCGCATCAGGCGCCACCCAAGGCAGGCCCACACCCAAGCCCCAAAGAGGGCTACTGGCGCGTGCAGGTGCAACCCAGCCAAGCGTGAACTGGAGGTGGCAGCGACCTAGGCCCGGCACCGTTCCGCCACCGCACTGCAGCCCACCTGCCGCCGACGGTGCCTGGGCTGGGCGGCAGCGCGCTCTGCACCCTCCCCGCCTTGTCGGCATGCAGCACCCAGATGGCGGCCAGGCCAGGTGGGAGGCCCTCCAGCGCGGCTCGGGCGCCATCGCCGTGCAGCTGCGCTATCCGCACTTCACACTCTTCACACACCCTGCACACCAGGGGACAGCAGGAGTGACAGGATGCAGGGATCCAATGTTCGGGGAAGGCTGCATTTAGACAGCCCTGGCTGCCTCCTGCCTGCAAGCTGACGCTTTTGAGCGGAGCCAGGCAGGCATGGAGTGGGGCAGGGACAGTGTGGCCGATCGCCAGGCTAGCAGAGTGCCTAATCGGCTAACTGACAGGCAATACTTTCGTCCCGCTGACCTGGCAATGGTGGCGGCGTCCTCATCCACAAACACCGCCACTGGCTCAGCGCCGCCGCCACGGGCCGCCGCCGCCACCTGGCGTGCGGTGGTGGCCGGGATGCTGCGCTTGGCGCGCGGCCACAGGATCATGCCTACCAGGTTGGCGCCTGTAGGCAGCTCAGCCAGGTGGACACAGAAGGCTGGGGTGGACGCGGGCAGGTGGCAACAGCGGTCGCGAGTGGCTGGGAAGCCGGGCCAGCCGCCTGGAGCGTTGTTCAGCCCAGGGCAGGTGGTGGCGGACCGGACTGCTGCCAGAGCCGCGCCTATGCTAGACCCACCTGCTTCAGCTGCTGCCGCTGCATCCTCCGCGTTGGTCACGCCGCACACCTTGATCACTGGCTGGTGGGCGTGGAGTGGCAGGGCGGCGGCGGCGACACTGGATGCTGCCGCGCTAGTGCGGTGGGCGCATGGCCGGCGCTGTTGCTGCCCAGGCCGCGATGTCAGGCCGCTGTAGATTGAGCTGCAGGGCGCTGGAGGCCGCGAGACGGCGTTTGCGGCACTGAATTGCTGCATGTTGCTTGGCCAGCAGAGCGCAACGTTAAATTCACAAGATGAGCAACCGCATGGACGCGCGCGGACACATTGGAGCTTCCAGGCGGGGTGGCGACGAGGTGGCGGCGCCACCGGCCACCCGCCGCCCAGCTGGGAGCGCTGAAGGGGGTGGCCAGCACAGCACCACCCAGGTTTGCGCCCGAGGTGGATGTCCCTCCCCGCTTCGCTGCGTTCATTGTGGTCTTACTTGCATGCATTTGTACACATTTTGCGCCCTTTAGCCGCTAACTTGCGCGAGCCATGTGCGGCACTGCATTGTAGCCGACCTGTGTAGCGGCCCACGCACCCTGGCTCGCGTTCTATCAGCTCAGTACACAGGCTATATAGTGGTGGGGAACGGGCGGAGCGCGGTATGCAGCGCAGCGGGGACTTCCTCTAGTGCTCAGCACTTGGCAGGAATGGCGGCAGGGTGGCTGAGGGTGGCTGCAGGCTTGGGCTGGCAGGTGGTTGCCCATTTTCAGCCCTCATCAACGTCATCAACATATCGTTCTATTGCTTTACAGAGTCAGTGGGAAGGTGAGAGGTCATTGAGGCAGTGGGGTCAAGGGTGTGGTGCATTCGGTGCTGGACGGTTTTGCGGCAATGGCACGCCGGACGGGTGCAGGCCAGGCGCATGCATAGGAGCATTCAAGGCATGTAGCGTGCCCATCATCGACTGTATCTGGGCCAGCTGGATGTGCGGTGGGACGACCATGCCAGCGACATGAGGCATGGCCAGCGACATTCAGGGGGGCACAGGCATGAGAGCGGGGCAGGTTGGCAGCGCCATTTGGGGCCCTTGCTGCGGCAGCGCTGCTGCTGCGGCAGCGACTGCCGTCTGCTGCTGCTGCTGCTGCTGCTGCTGCTGCTGCTGCCACTGCTGCGCTATCACCCGCTGAGACTGAACCGCCGGCCGAAATGAAGGAGCGCGTTCACAGCCGGGCGGCGCCGTGTGCCGCATCAACCTGACGGAGCAGGTTTCGAGTTTCCTGCAGCGCACCCTCATCCTGAGAAGCAGCTGGGAAGCCCGTATCACCGCCAATGCGCATGCGCTTAGCTTGGGCCCCCCATGCCTGGGCTGGGGCTGCCTCTCCATCAGCAATCTCAACGCTCCTGATGGCCTCGCTGCCTCCGCCCCCAGGTGCGCTGTCAGCAGCATTTGCCCTCCTCGGCCTCCGCTTCTGCAAGGGTCAAGACAGCCACGAGCATGTCATAGGATGCCGTGCCGTGTAGCAGACGCCCACCCAACTGCCCTACCCAATGCTCAAAGCAACGCCCTCCCTTTGCCCCCCCTTGCCCTCCCGCCAGCTCACCTTGGTTGCAAAATGGGGGTGGTATTTCCTGTCATTGTTTCGAGAAAAGTCGAGCAATGCGAAACGCATCTGCAGTGGGCCACTTGACCACAAGGATTATACACCGCGGAAGATCCAATAGGTGCATGTGTTGCCCCCTGATGTGGCACCCTCCCGATTGGGCAACCCCCGCCCCCGCTCGCTCCTGGCAGCCCGCGCGGCGCTCCCCTCCCATACGTGAACTGACCCCATAGAGCCATGTTTGAGGGTTGAGCGGGGCGGAGCGGGGCTGCTTGCACACGTGATGGCATGCACGCTTCAACGCTCCCGCTGTCATCTCACCTCTCTAGCGTCAGAAATACAACTCTTACAAGCCAACCAACACGAACAGAGAGACCGAACAACAGAAATGAACAGGAAATATGAAGCCGCCACAGGCGGCAGCACCTTTCAGCGGAGACGGCAAAGCGTACAAGGCACACTTCTTCAATGGTTCTTGCAATTGCCACCCTTACCGGTTATACAGCCACAGTGCCGCCCACACCGCGCACCATTCTTCTTGCAGCTGCAGTTCCGGGTGCAGGCGCCGCGGCAGCCGCAGCGCACGGCTGCCTTGCCGCCGCCGGGCTGCGCCGCCATCGCCACATTGAGAGACACCACAGGCACTCCTCGCTGCGCCGTGCCGCTGAAGGTCAGCTCGCTGGCCAGGCTGGGTGGCGCCTAGATAGCCTGCTGGCCTGATGCATACCCTCCACCACTCCAGCTCCGCTCCGCA